TAGTTAGAGCCTGCACTTCGTCTAGATTCTAAGCCATGGCAACTTGCTTTCAGCCGCACAAGGCTGCAGATATCAAATCCTAACCCACCAGCCTGGCCACTAAGCACAGCCCTGAGCTGAGTGAGGTTGGAGCCCTATGTGGCCACCAGGCAAAGCTGTAGCTGGTATCTTGTCTACCTGGTGTCTGGATGGCAGCAAGGCAACCAACAGATGCTCCCTCCCAGTTTGGCAGTTGGCAGCTTGGGAAGCCAGACCGGAGGAGGGCCTTTGTATGCAGGGTGGCAAGTGTCTTCTGGGTCCAAGAAGTTACCCAAAGCTCTGGCTCCAAGAGTTTACTGTGGGTGCAACTGACCTGTCTGGCTGCTCTAGATAAGCCAGCTCCATGGGCTGTCCCTCACCTGCTGCCTTCCCTCCTGCCCCACGCACCTCTCAGTCCCCCTGCCCATCTTCATTAACTCAGACTCCAGGCTGGAGGCCTATGCTGGCTCCCCCAGCCTCTCCCTGTCTGCATCCTTGCCGAGATGCTGCTCTCATGCTGCCTGGTGGTGCCCTGCCCTCGGCACCTCCTGCCCCACTGCCCCCTAGGTGAGCCCATTCCCACAGCTGAGACCTGGGCTCATGCTCCAGGAAGGTTTGCTATTTCAAAGACAGCCAAAAGCAGCTCATACACACTTTTGAAAAGAACAAGGCTGAGAAGTAGCCATCATGGCCTCCATAGCACATAGGAGGAAACTGAAGACGTGACTGATGAAACAGGTGGCCTGCGGTCACACAGCAAGCACAGCCACATGTGCACACTCTGGGGGTGGGGGCGGTGGGATGACTGCTCTGAGATTCAGAACTGCTTCCACTCAAACCAACCCAGATCTGTAATTATAAGCTTCCGGTAATCTTAATATCTTTCTCTTTAGTGAAGTTGAGTGTAGGTGATTTTAAGCTAGATTTGAGGACAAAACTTTAGCATAAATGCTTGGAGCAAGTTAAGCTCCTAAGACTCAGTTGGGCCCGTTACCTTTCTTAACCAATTCTTTCCACCAGGTATTCTGACCTTAATGACCAACCTGAGCGAGAATGCCTATGACCACATTCACGCATTTATTCTGCAGATTGCATGAGGGTACAAGGCAGACCTGATGCCAGGCACCGGGCTCCACACTTCCCATTCCTCTGCCCACTCAATCCTGGAAACAACCACATGGAATAGGTAGTGTTAGGCCCACCCCATTCCCCCATTTTACAGAAGAGGAAACAGAGGCATGAAAAGGTAAAATGACTGGCCCAATATCCTTCGGCTACTAGGTGGCAGGACCCAGACTGAAACCCAGGGCATTTGGCTCCAGAGCCAAGCTCAGTGTTCCACTGCATCCTGGCATTCTGAATTTATTGTAAATCCTGTTGCTGTCTTCAGCTTCAGCTAGAAAACATTCTCCTTTGCTTCTTTCTTGATTCAGAAAAAATATCCTACCTCTTCCAGCACCTGCTCCAGCACAGCCCTACTCCCCCCTGCTAGGGAGGACTGGCCCTGGTGTGTGGCCCGCACCTCCAGGTGAACTGGGCAGGCAGGGCCTCAGGTTTCCCTCATGGCACTTGCATCTTTCTCATTGATCTTTATAATAGCCCTATGTATTTAGTGTTATTTTCTCACTTGACTGAGGAGGACACTGAGGTTCAGAGAGGTTAAGCAACTTACCCAAGGTCTCACAGCTCAAAACCTGCAGATCAAGCACATGAAACCAGGCCCTTCTAGACTGGGCTCCAAAGCCCTTGCTCTCTTCTCTAAATCTAAACTCAATGGGAAGTTTTTTTTAATTTTTTTAAAATTTTTTTCCTTTTTGTCTTTTTTCGTGACCAGCAACGGATCGCAACCCTCAGTGTCGCGNCGGTAATCTTAATATCTTTCTCTTTAGTGAAGTTGAGTGTAGGTGATTTTAAGCTAGATTTAAGGACAAAACTTTAGCATAAATGCTTGGAGCAAGTTAAGCTCTAAGACTCAGTTGGGCCCGTTACCTTTCTTAACCAATTCTTTCCACCAGGTATTCTGACCTTAATGACCAGCCTGAGCAAGAATGCCTATGACCACATTCATGCATTTATTCTGCAGATTGCATGAGGGTACAAGGCAGACCTGATGCCAGGCACCAGGCTCCACACTTCCCACATCCTCTGCCCACTCAATCCTGGAAACAACCGCATGGGATAGGTAGTGTTAGGCCCACCCCGTTCCCCCATTTTACAGAAGAGGAAACAGAGGCATGAAAAGGTAAAATGACTGGCCCAATATCCTTCGGCTACTAGGTGGCAGGACCCAGACTGAAACCCAGGGCATTTGGCTCCAGAGCCAAGCTCAGCGTTCCACTGCATCCTGGCATTCTGAATTTATTGTAAATCCTGTTGCTGTCTTCAGCTTCAGCTAGAAAACATTCTCCTTTGCTTCTTTCTTGATTCGGAAAAAATATCCTACGTCTTCCAGCACCTGCTCCAGCACAGCCCTCCTCCCCTCTGCTAGGGAGGACTGGCCCTGGTGTGTGGCCCGCACCTCCAGGTGAACTGGGCAGGCAGGGCCTCAGGTTTCCCTCATGGCACTTGCATCTATCTCATTGATCTTTACAATAGCCCTATGTATTTAAGGTGGAGGTCAGTGTGTTATTTTCTCACTTGACTGAGGAGGACACTGAGGTTCAGAGAGGTTAAGCAACTTACCCAAGGTCTCACAGCTCAAAACCTGCAGATCAAGCACATGAAACCAGGCCCTTCTAGACGGGGCTCCAAAGCCCTTGCTCTCTTCTCTAAATCTAAACTCAATGGGAAGTTTTATTTTTTTTTTTTTAATTATTATTTTTATTCCCGTTTGTCTTTTTTCATGACCGGCAACGGATCGCAACCCTCAGTGTCGCGCCCGTACCGGACCGGGACCGGCAACGGGATCGCAACCCTCGGTGTTGCGCCCGCACCTCGCTCAGCCAGTGAGCAGCCGGTCTGTAGGTGGGATCTGAACCCTCGGCGGGAGCGCACCGCGCTTCCCAAGCGGCGCACTGTAGCAGTGCGTCACCGGGCCGGCCCTCAATGGGAAGTTTTAAATGAGAGCATTTAAAACACAGAGACAGCAGGCATTCCTTTACAGTAGAAGAGCACACTGAATAGAACTGAAAGTGGCCTTACCAGTGANAGCGCCGCCGCGCTCCCAAGCGGCGCACTGTAGCAGTGCGCCACCGGGCCGGCCCTCAATGGGAAGTTTTAAATGAGAGCATTTAAAACACAGAGACAACAGGCATTCCTTTACAGTAGAAGAGCACACTGAATAGAACTGAAAGTGGCCTTACCAGTGACATGGTGACAGCAGTCCTCATCTTCCCATCACCACACACCTGGTGGTGAGGGTCATTCTACTTGATTTAAAGCAGGGGTTATCAACTTAATGCCCATAGGTGCCAGCAGGCAACGAGATTAGCAGCAGCAGCCTGGGGGGTTTACAGGAACAGAAGAGGCAGTGGCGGGCTGGGCCAGTGTGCACAGGAAAGCACGCACCAGCCACGCAGGGGCAGCCGCGACTCTGCTCCGTCCACTGTCACCATGCAGGAAGGCGAGTTCAGTGCTGCCAACTCATCCTACTCTTCCAGAGCAGTCAGGAATCCAGATTTTTATGTGGAATCTCTTAATTTTTAAATGATGGAAAGTAATTCAAATGTTTCTTTAAACACCATCTAAGCCAAATGAAACACATCTGGCTGCTGGAGTCAGCTTGCAGGGTGACATCCAGCTTTAACGTTTATGGAAGTTATAAGTTTAGTTCATTTAAAGAAAGTTCGATTTAGTGTAAAATGATCAATATAATGTAAAAAATCATCAAATGTTTCTCTAA